TTTTGCTTAGCTGAAAATATACTTTGCCCTCAATCTTGAAAGATAATGTACCTTCCAAACAATTTTTGGGTGCCAGGATTTATTCTTAACCCTTTGAGGGCATTATTTCACTGTATTCTGGATTCCATTACTGCCGTTGAGTAGTTGGCTGTCATTCTGAGAGTCTTTTTATGAATAGTCTGCCTTTTCTCTGGCTCACTTCTCGTAGTCTGGTGTTTTGTAGTTTCCTTATGATAAGCTTTAGTCCTGCTCTGCAGCTGTGTGTGTAACAGCTAAACCATCAACCTCAGCGAGGAACACTGTCTTCATATTTTTATTGTGGATAAGATGTTTGCATTGTTTCTTTTACCCAGTGTAGTGCCTTGTACATAGTACATTCCTTGGAGATTCTTTGCTTGAATTATCATTGAGATTCTGTATATTGCCCTTTTCCTACTACAGTGTAGTTTTGAATATTTTAAAATATTTACCTAAAAATGTGGTGAATGCTTAGTAATAATGTTCATTTGTTTTCATTTGTAAAAGGCATGGGGTTACATGTACCATTAAAAAATGTTTTTTCCTTATATGATTCTGACATTGTCAGGAAGGGAAAAAAGTATCATGGTGTATAAAAGTGAATTATTTTCTTTGGGTTAGAGTTAACATGTTTGTTTAAAAATACAAAATATAATATTTAACATTGACTGATGAATATATTTAGCAGTTATATTTAAAATCAATATTTTGATACCCAGTCCCATAGTTTCATGACTACTTTCTTTTTAACTATAAAGATTCATGATTTATATTGTTACAATATCAGTTTGGAGGATGTGGTCTTTTGAATTTAATTTCTTCTTACTTTAAGAAGGATAAAGCAGAGAGATATACTGTCTATAAAAATAGAGATGATAGAATCCCTGTATTCATGCATTGCCAAGGAAGAATAACATGACGGTAAGATAGAAGGTTGTGGTTTTCTTCAGAATTCAGAATGTTATCCTAAATATAATTCACTTGCATTATCAGGTTACAGCAATGTCCACTTATATTTTTTTTCCTTACAAGCTAAAATCTGTCTGAAAGCATTAGCTCTTCCTATGTGCTCTGTGAGTGCTATAAACCCTGCCTCTTGTTTTTAAAAGAACTACCCTCTGCTGGTTTCAGGTTTCATGGTTGTTACTTAGATGTGGGCTAGATGCCATTGTAATAATTTGCATATGGGATTTGTGGCTACAATTAGATGGGGTAATAAAGTACATTAGGAATTGCATTGCATCTACTTCTGATGACTGTTTCATTAGGGCAAGATAACATTTTTTAAGTATTAAAATTGTTAAAACCAATGTTATCTAGACTCATCTCTATGATATAGTACTCCTTTTTTCAAATATTCATACTGTCAAGTATTTAATTCCTTATTCATTCATTCATGTTGTATGCATGTATGTGCGTATGCATGTGCACATGTATGTGAATAGACTAAGCCTCGATTCTTAGTTTCAACAGTAGTGAATTCTGAATTCACAGGTAATCAGGTTTTACATTGGAACCCAGAGGTTGATGATGGTTGAAATTAGGATATTTAAGTTTGAAGGCTTCAGAACTAAGATCAGACCCAGGTGGAAAAATGTTGTAGTGAGTAGAAGAGCAGAGTCACTTATTAAAAAGTGTTATTCCTCGGGACCCTCTCCAGTCTCCCTGAATTTCACTGTCCTGGAGTAGGGCTGTAGATCCCAGGTGACTGCTTTTGTGTGCTAAAGTGTGAATGGTTTTCAGATGTGTACAAGGAAATACTAGCCAGTTGTTCTTCTATTTGGAAAACATCGCGCTAACAAAGACAAGGAAGCAGCACAACCTCAGATGTAAGGAGCAGCGAAGACGGTGATCTCTGCTTTCAGAGGTTTCAGCTGTGACATGGAAAGTGAGACGGTCGGGCACCTGATACATTATTCATACGTTGGTCACTGTTCTTTGAGATATTTCATAGTCTTTGAGGTCACAAACAAAACATCTTAGCAGAAGTTTGACTCTGGAAAGAAATAGAAATGAGACATTGTATAGAGTAAGATGTGAAAGCATCAATCTTTTTCTGCTCCACTATGCAGGGGTTACCTTTGTTTAAGTTTTGAGTGTCTTCTTTCTGATCATTTCTCTGCTTTTGAATAAGTATGCATTTACATGTATTCATTTATATGTGTGCTTATTTTAAATATTTGTTAGGTTTTTTTTTTGTAGTCTAGACATTTAACCTTTGTCTGTTATATTGAAAATAACATTTATTTTTAGTTTTTTTTTTGGTGCCATAATAACTGACATCTTACTTTGTGCCGGGAGTTATTCTGAGTCCTCTGCGTGTGTTATTTTATTGAATCCTTGCTCCTCTTCATAGATGAAGTGACCTTGATGCAAGGAGGTTCAATAGTTTGTCAGGCACAGGTGATTGCTAAATAGTAGAGCCAGGGTGTGAGTGGAAAAAGACTGATTTCAAAACAGTACACCTAACCAGTATACTGTATCTTTCCTTGTAACTTTTAAAAATGTAAAACACTGAAAATTTTAAATTTAGTATGAAGCTCATTTAAAAACAAAGGTATTTTTAAGAGGCTATGGTGACTTTAATACAGATATTTAGGAATATAACACAAACATGTATATGATAAATAGATATAATATTGTATTAATACAAATATTCCATAGACTTTTGGGGATATTTGCCCTATTCCTATTTTTTTAAATTTTTAAATCCACATCCAAGGATATGTCTATTGATTAGAGAGAGAGAGAAAGCACTGATCAGGTTCCACCTGTGAACTCCCCAGTTGAGGACTGAGCCCGAAACCGAGGTATGTGCTCTGACCAGGGATTGAACCTGCAGCATTTTGGCAGATGGACAACACTCCAGCCAACTGAGCCACCTGAGCAAGGCGCCCTATTTCTATTTAGAACTGACCTTCAGTAGCACATTCTCTGTTTTCTTCCACTGATTTCACAATAGCTTGGTAATCTCCCTCTTGCCAATCATTTTGCTTTAATCCATCCTCATTGTGCTACCAGAATAGTCACTGTAAGTGCAGTTTTGATCCTGCCACTTGGTCCTTTATTTGGAAACTTTCAGTGACATCACGTTTCTTGCCGAATGAAGGCCAGCCTCTTCCCTTAGAGGTCATTTGAAGACTTGTACAACTCTTTCACCTGTACCTTTCGAGAATTGTCTTGAGCAACTAGTCTTGACACTTACTTAATACTGCAATTGAATGGGATAATTTACTTTTCTTGTTTTGGAATCATGTTCTCTGGCTTCATATTTGGATCAGTTAGTATTCTAATCAGCCAGAAGAGGCTGACTGGCTGATTGAGCAGATGAGGTATTTATTTAAAGGTGTTTGTTACCTCTCAGAATTTTGGGAGGGAGCTGGAGAACTAGGTTTAAGGTTAAGCTTGCTGGTGTTATGTCTCCACTCACATCTGAGAACTGTCAGTCACTCTCCTGCCCCACCAAGTGTTGCTCAAGTGCTGCCACTGGGCTGGAACTTGATTTGGCCACCTCTGCTGCTGCCACTGTGGACGGCCGACGCCTCCACTGCAGCCGTGCCAGCCCAAAGGGTAACTCGACACAGAGTCAGCCTGTTCTCTCCCGTGACTCCCTTCCAAACTGAAAGTTTGTGCAGGTGCTTCTGAATGTCTGCACCTGCAGAGCTGCAGGGTGTATATTGGTAATTGGAGGTCTGGAATTATTTTGGGAGATTAGACTTACAAGGTGAGAATTTTTCTGAGTAAAAGGTTCTGCAGAATCTGATGAGAAACTTGATTATGGTAAATGCCCACTGTAATACTTTTACATATTCTTCCATTATAGTATTTTTCTCTCTTCACCTCCAGGTGGATACATTCCATGCAAGGACCTGCTGGAATTCCTTTTTTTGAATTAGTCTACCTCGTTCTTTTTCACCTGATTTTCTTACCACCTTTTGAATATTTCTTTTCTCATTATTTTTAAAAGCACAGAGGTAATACTTAAATGTATTTCTGTATGGGTCAAACAGTATGGAAAGATACAGAATAAACTGTGAAAGTTGCTTACCTTCTCTACCTTCATACTTCAAATTGCTACCCTGTTTTCTAGATATCCTCTGGTAGAAGTTATAATAATTGCCTTTAATTTGGCACATTTGATAATAATTTGGCATGTGATAGTAAGTTTATTGAGTGTAGAGGCCCTTATTTATTCTTTGGGTTTGCACAGAGCCTACCAAAACTGTTCTTGTGTGTAGTAGAATATGACGTGAAGGCCTGACCTTAGACAGTGGCTATGCAATCATTTGGGAAGTGAAAACTTACAACTTGGGGATTTAGTGAATGTGTAGGTAAAGGTAGGAAACAATGTATACTCCAAACAAGAGGTCCAGCCTGGGAGATAAAGCATTGATGATGCCAACGGGAGACTGGGAACATAAGGACTATTCTGTGTCTGCAGATACATTGGTAGAACCGTTTCTGATTATTTTCTAATATTGCAGGAGCTCCTTTACTCATATTTCTGACTTGAATTAGAGTTTTAGAAAGCTGCTAAAATGTTCAGATTTGGCACAGATTCCCACAGTTTAGGAAAGACACTGAAAAATGCCATTTTCTGGTAGAGTTGTGCCTGAGTCTGCAATGCTCGATTATGAGTAAGACCTCTCAGTGGGGAGATGCATTTTTCTTTTAAAGGTACAACACTTATATTAAGTAGGGTGACTATAAACCTGTTTGCAATCATTGTTCATGTCTCAGTAGATGCTAAATGGGCATATATTTTGTTACGTATTTGTCTTTAGAAATTAATGTTTGAAAGTTTGATCTGTTTCACATAAACTTAAAGGAATAATAATAGTAATGATAAGTAATCATTTTGATAAATGCCTCTAAAAACGTATGCTGGGAAACTTGTACAGATTTTTGTTTTGGCATTGGTCATTTTGCCTCTTTTTTTTTCTCTTAATTACAACTAACTTGACATTCTTTTCTCTTTCCAGATCACTCGACTTCAAGTGGCACATTAACTTTCAAACCTAGTCGGTCATTGGTTGCGCTTCCAACTGCCCATGTCATGCCATCTCACTCCAGCGCTTCAGTTTCCAAACACAAAGAATCATTGACATCGGATGGCTCACCGTGGACCACAAGCCTCATGCAGACATTGGGAAACCACAGTAGGGGGGAACCAGACTCTTCACTAGACATGAAGGACTTCCGGCCCCTCCGGAAATGGTCATCTTTATCCAAACTAACTGGCCCTGATAACTGCAGTCAGGGTGGCATCACACACACCGAAGAGTCAAGGAGTGGTTTGGAAAAGACAGGGAGAGGCAAAGCTCTAACATCACAACTAAGGACGGTTGGGCCTAGCTGCTTACATGACAGTATGGAGATGCTCAAGTTAGAGGACAAGGAAATAAATAAAAAACGATCATCAACTCTGGACTGCAAATACAAATTTGAGAGCTGTAGCAAAGAGGACTTTAGAGCTGCTTCTTCCTCTCTTAGGAGACAGGCCTTAGACATGACATACAGTGCCTTACCTGAAAGCAAGCCCACTATGACAAACGCGGAGGCTTTTGAAACTCCCAAGTATTTAATGCTTGGTCAGCAGGCGGTAGGTGGAGTTCCTATTCAGCCTTCTGTGAGGACGCAGATGTGGCTTACAGAGCAGTTGCGGACAAACCCTTTGGAAGGCAGAGCTACAGAGGACTCCTACGGTTTAGCTCCTTGGCAGCAGCAGCAAACTGACGAGTTTCCACCAGAGAGTGAAACACCAATGCAGGTAAGATGCAAAATCTAGTGTTTGCTTCCCTCCAGTGGATATTGTGAGCATAGTGATAGCACACTTGCAGGAAGCGTATGGCAGTGTGTTCATAGCTACAGACTGTTTTCCTTTTCCTTTCCCCTGAAAGTAAATAAGCATAGATGCTATAAACTCCAAAGCTACTGCATTGGTAAACAAAACTTGAAAAATATTTGAGGCTGATTAACATGAAAACTCGGATTTTACTTTCCTTCTCATGTTTGTTAAGTGGACATGAACAAATATGAACAAAACAAAATGTTCTAAAGCAACGAGACAGAAACAAAGGATGTGGCTTGGTATCAAAGAATACTAATTTGGGATTTTGTTTCTGTTTGATCAAATTCAGAACCTGGATGATTCTTTACCTAGCACTTACTACTTAATATCTCTGTGTCTCAGTTTTTTTCTTTTAATTGAGGTATAATTGACATCTAACATTTATTAGTTGCAGGTGTACAACATAATAATGATTTGATATATTTACATAATTGCAAAATGATCACCATAGAAAGTCTAGTTTATATCTGTCACCATACATAGTTATAAATTTTTTTCCTGTGATGAGAACTTTTAAGATTTATGTTTTTAGCAACTTTAAAACTTACAATACAGGCCTTAAGCTCCTAGCCTCTGGCAACTGTCACCAATCTCTTCTCTGTGTCTGAGTTCTCCTTCCGTTCTTTTTTTAAGATTCCACATGTAAGTGAGATCGAATGATGCTTGTCTTTGTCTGACTTATTCCACGTAGCATAATGCCTCCTAAGGCTCAGCCATGTGTTCACAAATGGCAAGGTTCCCTTCCTGTTTTACGGCTGACAAAGTAGGGGTAAAAGTGGTTTACGGTTTTTTGTATGGAAAAGTAATACAGTAATTAATAAATAATAATATGAGAATGAACTCTGTTTCATTTACTCATAATGGTCGCTTACTTTTGCTGCACCCTATATACATCACATTTTCGTTAGCGTTCACCATTGCCGGACACTTGGTTTCCTTCCATCTTTGGCCACCGCAAATAAGGTTTCAGTGAACAGGAGGTGTGCACATTCTCGGGTTAGTGTTGTTGTCACCTTTGGGTAAATTCCCCAGAAGGGGAATTGCTGGGTCATATAGTAGTTCTATTTTTAATTTTTTGAGGAAGCTTCCGATTGTTTTCCATGCCGGCTGCACCAATTTACGTTCCCACAGCAGTATACAAGGCTGCTGCTCCTCTGCACATTCCTCCCAGTGCTCACCTCTTGTCCTGTTGATAGTGGCCATCCTTGAGGTGCAAGGTTATACATCACTGTGGTTTGGATTTGCATTTCCCTGATGATAAAAGATGGTGAGCACCCCTTTTCACGTAGACAAATTAATTCTATCAAAAGTCTCAAAGTTTCCCTAGGCAAAAAATTTAAATTACTACTTAATTCCTACTACTAATAAAAAATAATAAACACTGAAGAAGTATATTCTCGGAAAGGACAAGGAGATCACTTATCAAGGAGCCTCACAGATCTGAGTTCAGCCCCAAGCATATAGAACCTGGTGTGGGACATCCACTAAACACTCCCAAACCTTCCTCCTCTGCTCTCGTGTGGAACTCTGGTGCTTATCATGTTGATTCTGTGTGTTTAAAGCATGCATTCAGGCAGAAGCGTCATGATGTCTGAACTACAAATCAGAAGAGCACTTTAACCAGATTTATTTGTGATTTATCAATTTGAGAGACCGAAAAATAAAAAACCAAATTTAAAGAATACTATTATATTTTAGTTCTCAAATGCTTATTATAGGAGAACAGGGACTAAGCACTGATTTCTCCAGGTGGTGTCTTTACACAGAATTGGAGTTGCCCAGGGGGCTGATTATTCTACTCCAACTGAAGTAGGTGTTATAGAAAGGTAACTGAGAAAATTGGGTGAATTTAAAGGAATAAGTATTCATTCATTACTTCTTTCATTCTGCTTATATGAACGAACTTCTGCCGTAAACAAAGTTTTCCCCAAGCTTGACAGTGCAGCCAGGTAAGGGACCTCGAAGGTGCTTCGTGGGGCAAAACTTACTTTTAAATCCTCCCAGTACACGGTCTAGGAAGAAAGCTACCAAGGGACAAAATTTGCATACTCCCGGGAAGGTTCTACTTTTTGATTAACCTTATTTTGGGTGGTCTCTTTACAGTGCTGTAAGTTCTGGAGCAGGAATATGAAACTAGGTAAAGGAAACTCAGACACTTCAATGCAATATTTAAACAATTGCTTCTTTTCTGTTTTCTTCTTGCACTGTTACAGAAAAAATTCCTAAATACCTTCTCTTTGGAGTGTCCCATACTATCTTCATTATTTTAAAAGGTCCTGTCGTGGTCATTTCTTTAAAGACTCTTCAAACGTTGTGACTTCCATTTAATCCAGTTTTTACATGAAGGGGAGAGCCACAGGCCACAATAAGGATCAGCTCATTATTTCTCATGTGAGAATGTTTATGATTTTTAAGCACAACTGCTAAACTCTCACCATGAAAAGAACAACTGCTGTTTTACAACAAGAAGGAATTTGTCTGGGAGTTACAACCTAATACCATGATTGATTTATATAGAACTTTGTAGCTCTTGAAATATTTTTATCTCATTATCCTTATTATCCTCACTGCCTTCTTCTCCTCTTTTTTCCCCTCAAATGGTTAATTATTATTGTGAATTTTGCTCTTCTTAGGACTGAGCCCAGATTCATTATCAAGTCAGCCCCGCACTTGAATGTGCGTAGTGTTTCATGATTCCCATGGTTTGCTACCAAATCTGCTCCAGTGCAGGTGCAAGGGGGGGCCCAAAGACCTGGAATTATCTTCTGGAGGGCGGGCCTCTTGTAATATAGGCTTCCCTTGCTAGGTGAGTGTTCTAGGAACCCATCTGTATCAGTGCACTAGCCAGCGTTATTGAGAGAGACTGCATGTTGGCCTTCAGTGAATTTTTTGAAGACTTTCAGTGCATTTGCCCATTTCATGATGGGTAATTTATGAGCACACCTGCCCACACCATGCTGTGTTCAGCAGTTTTTGACCAAAAATAGAATGATCCCATGCCCCATCCTTCCCTATTCAACCCCCAAGAGACTTTTTTATGTTTCTTTGGATGCCCAGATAAAGAAAGTCCTCAAAGAGAAACGTTTTCCTGGTGTGGAAGAGATGAAACAAAAAAACAGCAGAAGTGATAAAAGGCATCAAAATCGATGAGTTCAAAACCTGTTTTTGAGCAGTGGAAAAAACATCTCAATAGGTATATTGCATCACATGAAGAGTACTTAGAAGGTGACTAAAGTTTAGACATGTAAGAATAAATACACCATTTTTATAAATAAATTCTGTTAGGTTTTTTTTTTTTTTGGTTCCTGCTCAAAGTGTAGTACTCTGAAGCATTTTCCTTTGTGCGTGAAGAGAAGCCATCCATGCCCTCGGTTACAGTGTAGGCCTCCCTGTGTGATGTCCACCACTGTCTTTAGATTTTATTTTCTCTGTTGTACATCAGCCCTCTCTCCCCATCTTCCCACAGTCTGACCCCGCAAGGAGAGAAAAACAACAGTGTTGTTTTCTCTTTTGAAAGAATGTGTCTCTGCCCATGTCCCTGACACATTTCATTTTTGGGGGGGGGTGGATAGGAAAGGAATGGAGAATGTGTGCCTCTGCACAACGTTATTCATTGGATCTCCGTGAGCTCACAGTGGATCTCCGGGACAGAGTGAGGAAGTGGTCTCTTTACTGACAAAGTTGTATATCTTCTTTTATATTCTGCAGGATGTTTGTGAGTTCTAGGTTGCAGTCATTACAAAGAGGAAGATAAAATTTTGTGCCTGTTTAAATCATTTAGGGATATGTTCAATGAAAATATAGGTTCCTAAGGATTTCAACATAATTCACTGAAACATTTCTGTTATAGAAATAAAAAATACAAATAAAAATTTGATAAAATGACTGTTAAATGACAGATTTTTGTCTAACATGTAAGAACAAAAAAGTTTTATTTTAACATGAGTGGTTTTTGTAATCTATTACATCTTATGAAAAGCACTAGTTTTCTTATACCGTTTTGTCTTTAGTCTTTTTTTAGTGGTTAAGATAATTACACTGAAAGAAGTGGCCACTAACATTCTGAGTGGGTAGGATCTGCCATTATGACACATCATTAGTTAGTGAAAAAGCATATAAATGAATTTTGTATGCTTGCTTTAATAAATAACATTAGTGATACTTGACATTTTTTCATCTGTCACCTTTCCTCTGTAGTATTGGAATATAATTTTTAGCCATTTTAATGTGTGCTGTTTACTTAGAAGAACAGATTCTGTTTCGAGAATTTATTATTTTTCCACTTTGCCATAAAACTCAGAAGTAATCAAAGGATAAGTAATTTCTGGGTAGAAGGAGATTCAGTGTTTTATGAAGCTCTGCCCTCTTGTGTCTGTACTAGGAATTCTTGATCTTATTTTGTATGGGGAATGTCCCTGAAAACAACCTCAGAAATCAAAACTGCTTATATCAGATTTGTTATGTCATATCAGTTATGAGTATACGAAAGAATGATTTCACCAAATTCAAGAAGGTCATTTTAATATAAGTGATTTGTATTAAATAAACATTGTAAACTACAATATAAAAGGCAACATTAAACATTTAAAAATTCATTTTTAGTACTGTGAATTAAGTTTGGAATTTATTGTGCAGTAGGAAGTATTTCAGCATTTAGTATGTAACAAATTTTAAATACATTTTTTAATTTTACTCTTTGTACATTATGATTAATAACAAATTAAATTACATTTAAAGAATGGATTTTTGTTCTGCATTATACATGACTTATGGTATTCTGTAGTCATCGAGTGTAAGGTTTTAATTTCTACTAAAGGTAGAATGAAACACAAAAAATCTTTATTTCTGATTTATTAAGGAAAACTCTATATCTGCATACTTTATAGTTTGAAGTTGATGTTGTAATGAACATGTATCAGAAGGAATGGAACTTGTTATTTCAAATTGTCCACTTATGTTTAAGGTCATGCAGCTAATTATAGAACATGTTTTTTTTTTGCATGGGTAATTACACCAGTGAAGTGAATGTATGTCATGTTATTTATAAGCTTTCTAGTTGGTTTCAGGAATCTCTAATCCATAGATAAGCCTTTGCTCAAGAAATCACTGTTCGTATAAGGTCCTTTTCCTTCAGCTCCTCAGGTATCGGTGGGTCTCCTCCCCTGTCCAGTACTTCTCAGGCATTCAGAAAATTTTAAAATAATGTTTTCTATCACTGTTCTGCTAACAGCACTTGTGTTACAAACCAAGGTCAATATTACTTTTCAAATTCTTTTAGTAACCATATTTTAACAAATCATATAGTAAATTTAATGTTCCTACTCCTTTAATAATTACTATATTAGTAATATGTATTGAAGTAAAGTTAAAATTATGGGATGATACAATATAGGTGTAAACGATTTTAGACTTCATTTTCAATTGAGTCAATTTAAATTACCAAATTTTGGTTGAATATGTTTTCTATCACCAATTTTTACTTCTGTTGTTTTGTGAGTTTTGGGGCCATATTTTTAAACGACCAGAGGAGACATTGAAAACGTGTTTCAATTTAGTGTAGCAGAGTGGTCTGTCAAATGTGAGGGGGCACCCAAAAAGAAAACCTGTAATTACCTTCTGGAGGGCAGGCCCCTTGTAGCACAGGCTTCCCCGCTAGGTGAGCAGTCTGGGAGCCCATCTGTACCAGTGCACCGGCTGGCATGGTCTTGAGAGGCTGTGTTCACCTTCAGTGAATTTTTTTGAAGACTTTCAGTGCCTTTGCCCATTTCATGATGGGTGATTTATGAATGCACCTCCCACACCGTACTGAAGGTCCAGCAGTTTTTGACCGAAAACAGCATGACCCCTGTGCCCCCCCCATTCACCCAATCTCCACCCCCAAGCGACTTTTTTGTGTTTTCTGGATCCTAGATGAAGAAAATCCTCAAATGGAAATGTTTTGCTGATGTGGAAGAGGTCAAACAAACAAAAAACGGCAGAAGAACCAAAAGGCAAAATTAAAAATTTGACAAGTTCAAATTTAATTTTCTCCCTTCTTTATATATCCCTCAAAAATCAATTCAGCCTGTTGGCTTCGTTTCTGAGCAGTGGAAAAATGTCTGCACAGATGTAGTGCATCAAATGGAGGGTGCTTTGAAGATGACTGCAGTTTAAACATGTAAGAATAAATACACAATTTTTATAAATAAATTCCAGGGTTTTTAGGGTTCCCCCTGTGTTTACCATCTGGTTGATAAGATTAAGGAAAAGAGTTATGTCTTGTCATATACAATAGTAAGACAAAAAGTTCATTTCAAAATGTAATCAATGAATAAGTTAATGTGGAGAGAGAATTTAAAATTTTTTAACGCTTGAAGTACTGTTCTTTCCTTTTTTTCTTGCTGCATTGAGTATGGCGCTAGGTTAGAAGACAGCCTACCAAATCTGAAGTCTGAAGATTTCATGATTGCAAAGATACAGTATGGCCAATTATGTATTCCATCTCAGATAATCAACTACAGTGCCGTAAATTAAAGTTAGACTCTATTCTATTAGTGTATTAGTAATTATGGCTAATTACACTGTTAGCAGTTAAAGTGACCAACATTTCTTCCCTATCGAGCGAGATTGATTGTGCCATCCTGGGGAGATGGTTATCTACATGGACTAGAATTCTGTAATTGTTTGAAAAAATTAGTTAAGAGAAATTTTATTTATGTAAGAGTATAGCCTTACTTTTTCTTACTTGATTCTCATAAACTTCAAAAAATGTTAGGGTAAGTATAGAAAGAGAATGATAGTTACTACAAAGTTGTCTGAATAATACTAATAAAGATAACGTGAGGAATCAGTGGGCTATTTCAAATAATGATACTTGAATGATTATTTTGGTACTTGTGAAGACCTGAAAAATACTTAATAAACATCAAAGAGGTTTTTACAGTACAATATAAATTATATTTACTGCCAGTAGTGAAGCTAACGCTTTATACATGACGTGAACTTATTAGCAGTACAGTTTCAAAACTAAACTCCTAGTTCATCCTCAGGAAACGTTTGGGATTGAAACTTACAAGCTCTGTTGCAGAAACCCAACAGTTACATTGTACACACTATTTATAGTCATTTTAAAGGTAATTTTGAAAATAGAGCCCTTTTCACGGTTACAAGATCCAGCAGGTGAATACATTTGCTAACAATTTCTTGTGAATCTTGACCTTTTCACAAAACTTTTACATAGGGAGTGGTCTGTTTTCCCTGCTTCATGGGATGACACCTGTTAAGCTGATGGTGATCAGTCGCAACACTGGGGGTTGCAGCAGAGCTTCAGAGAAGCATCACGATGATGCAGATCAACAAGAGACAGATTAAGATGAGACAGAAGTTGATAAATAGGTTCTGGAGATTTTGGCGTGCTTGTTGAGGCACTTCAATGGTTGAAGCTCTTCTTATAGCAGAGCGAGTGAGGTATTGGACCTTCTCCATGACTCAGGAAGGCAAGGAAGTCTGAAGTTTTAAAGGATCAAGAGAAAGGTAAAAAGCGGACAGCCAAATGTGTGGTCCCTCTCTTCGAGGTGGTCTGCAATGTAAAAACAGTAAATGGATTAGGATCGTAGTGCAACCTAGTCTCTGAACAGGTAAAATACAATTTTATACTCATCTTCCTCGACAGTATTTGGATTTATGACATTTAATATCTCCATAGCCTATATTTGTGTGCACACACAGGTATTTGCTCGTCCGTCCTGTCTCTCTTTTTTGTTTTTATTATTTTTGTTGTTGAGGGTCACTGTGATGTATTTGTCTTGTGTTTGGAGTGTAGTAGTAACTTCATTCAGTCTTTTGCCTCCTCTCAAAATGACTAGAATATAGTTTGGTTTACAGTGTACCTTGTGTTGGGCTGTTGCTTTGGGAAAAAATTATTAACATACAATTTTATTAAGATTATTTCTCTGTGAGCATAATCGTTGTGAACATTAATGTATCAATAGCCATAGAGCGAATGTCATAAAAAGAAATGCAAGATGTAGATTATTGTTCAGCTGTTGATTTTAGTCCAAAATAAAATAAATGAGAAGTGTTTCACCAGTACTACAGATTCAGATGTTTGTCGTTCCTTTTTATGATTTTATAGCTTTGTAGAATGTGCTATTTCAAGCCACATTTAACAAGACTTGGGATTAAGTACTGAAGACTGCCAGGATCGGCCGTCAGTGATAAAGTCATTTTTATCTCACTGTCTACCACAGACAGTTCCTATTTACAAATGGCCTGTTCTTACAGGCAGTGGCTTCCACTTGCGTTCTTTCAGAGTTCCCACAAGCTATTCCACCCAATTAATTGATTAATTAAATTAATTAATTGTTGCCTAATTATTTATGCTAATTAATAAAAAACTTAAGAAAGCAATACCTCATTATAGAAAAATTAGGTATATTAAAAATTAACTGTATATTAAATGTCCAGAGTTAATAGCTAGTAAGGTTTGGGGATATTTTCTTGGCAATTGGGATACTTCTATCTAAATTTTGAAATATAGGTATAGCATACAAAATAACCAAAGTTAACTGCCTAGAGATTGTGGCTGTTAACATTTGTTGATATATCATTGTTAGTCAGGGTATTACTGCCTTACCCCAGCTGCCAGATTTAATTTTCTCTCATCTCTACGCATCCCTTGAAAACCCAACTCGACCTGTCAGCTGCACTTCCGACAGAGACTAGTGATGAAGAGAGCAGAGAGGAGAACTGAAGGAATGAGAAAGGGGAAGGGAGAGGGATCTGGCATCGTCAGTGGGAACTTCCACTTTTACACGGAAACCGTGTGGTACACGGTAGTTAGATCCTGCAGCTCTAGGACTTCCACTCGGCTCTCTTATGATTTGAATTGTATACCAGACTGTACTTTCATTTGTCTGGACAGTCTGGCCTGCTTCATAGTGTTGGACTGTAGTAAGGAGATCCCAGCAGCCGACGTGTGTCACCCACACACTCTGCTGCCGTGAAGAGTTGGTGACCACCTGTGTGTATTCTCTAGTGCACTGATTTTCAACCTTTTCCTCTCATGGTATACATAAACTAATCACTAGAATTCTGTGGTACACCAGAATTTTGCTGATCTGACAAGTAACTAAAAAATAGGTATGATTTTTATTTATTCATACCTGGTGGCTATTGTTGTGATGGCTGTTTTCTTTCTTTTTTTTTTTAATTTCACAATCTAAGGAAAAAGAGTCAGTGTCCCAGACTAATAGTCAGGTGTTGCATGTTTGAAAACTTTTTTGTGGCACACTGGTTGAAAGTCACTGCTCTAGCATGTGTATACACACACACACAGACACACGCGTGTGTGTATCTCCAAAATCTGATATACATACATACATACATACATATATATGTGTATATATACCCATCAGTGACTGTTAATTTATCTATAGCATTTTAAACTTGGTATGCATTGAATTATTTTTGTTTGGTTTCCTCAGATAAAATAGAGAGGTTTTCTTTTGTTCTTTAAGAACACGGATCATTTAAGACAGTCCTGGGGATTTCTAAAACTGAGGTTAGGACCACGTACAGTGTACAAGCAGTGAGCAGGCAGTTCTACCAGTGGTCATGTGTGACTTCCCTGAGCGCAGGGCATAGAAGAACAATCCCCAGACAGGATTTGAAAGTCCTGTTTCTTAAACAGATCACTACCACCAAGGAGGAACGTGGCCTTACTCTACTGCATACTAACACACATATATTTATACTTTGTATGGGCAGTTTAATAAAGAGCAGGAATTGAATAAGCATAAAAAAAGAAAATGTATCACTTAAGTTGTTTCTGCTTATATTTGCTTATAGTAGATAGAGTAAATTTATACTATTGGGTAATTCTGGGGAAGATTTCCTTTTTTCTTATATATTGGACTAGTTGCTTTATATAAGGATATATAACATGACAGCTAAGAAAAGAATGCAAATTAACATTGACCATTTTTTGTATGAACTCAAATTTTTGTGCAATTTTAGGATTTAAATGGTTTAAAAGGTCTGAATTTAAAAATTATTTTAACATGGAAAAGGAGGAAGCTACCAGTTGTTCATCATGAAGCACTGTGTGTACAAGAGTCATTCTCTACTCTGACACTGATGAGTGGTGTGTCAGTCACATGAAACATGTCACCTTCCATAAATACTTCATTCCTTTTATGATTCTGTCTCCTGCACATGTTGTTTTGGTTCTGCCTGGAACCTTTCCTCCCACCCCCACCTTTGATTCTTTGCCAGGCATATTTCAGTTGATCTTTAAGGCCCAGTTTAAATAATCACTTCCTAACAAGGCCTTTCATTGCTCTTTAAGGCAGAATTGATTCAACTCTGCTGGTTTTCAGGAAGGTATTAGTGTTACCCATATCAGGACAGTTACCTGGCTGTGCTATCATTTTTGATTCACATGTCTGTGTCCCCAACTGGACTTCGAGTTCACGAGTAAAAGGAACCACATGTTTATTTTTTATTGTGGTACTTGGTGCATAATTGATACTATTTGAGTAAATCAATGATGTTGAATGAAAGTTTTTATTATTTACTTTAGTATTTTTAGACAATTGATAATGATCAAAGATAGTGCTATGATTAATAGATTACCAGCATGAGTAATAGAATTACCAGTTAGAGTAATAGAATTTGATAGTTGAACACAATCTCCAATATTCTTCTCAAGTCTCCTCCTGTTATGGGTGAGGAAAATGAGGGTTTGGAGTATTTCCATGAGAGGATTACAGCTGAGGTAAATTGGTAATGTAAACATGTGCCTGAAGTAGGCTCTGTACAAATGGGTGTTTGGGGTTTGTGAAATACAAAGTGGTGTGCCCCAAGGAGATGAGCTCTCTACTGATGAACATATGATGCATATACTTTAAAGACGATCTCATAATATTTCAACAGCCAGCCATCGTTGAAAAAGGGTAGTTTGTTCTTAGAAGCAAATTGAGTATAAAGGAGACAGCCAAAGGTCATGGTTTCTTGTCGAACTTAGAAATGTTATAATTCTAAAGTGATTTGTAGTTATTTTATAATCTTACACTAAAACCAAAAACAAATCTGCTTTACATTTTACATGCTGAAGTGTTAGCTATATGCATTCGACTTGTTGGGTCCAATTTATTGTACATGGTGCAGTCTGAAGTGTGTTGAGTCCGGATTCTGCTGAACTTCCAAATACTGTATGATAATAAGCCAGGTTATTCATACAACATGAGGCTTCCTATTATATGTTGAGAATTGAAAAGCTATGTGTGAAAACAACACAGTCCTGTGTTTGGAGTTGTCTGTGACCTTTACTACATCATAATGACATAGTTGTTAGGTATTTATCATTCTTTTCTCTGTAATCCATAACCATTCTGAGCCTGCTCCCAACTCCACTTTCTTAGAGCCAAGCTGTTAATAGAGAGTTATTTGGCAGAGAGCCTAGAAAAATAGTTTTACTCTACTTTCATTTTATCTGACTTTTTACGGCATTTTTAAAGGATAATCAGAAATAGGTTGTGTTGGGATGTTCTGAATTTGCATCTGACTTAAAAAGCCTTGGAGATTGAAATTAGCCCTTACTCTGCTCCCTCTTTTACAGAATGACAGGACATGCAAATTAGGTGTTTGGACAAGAAGAGTGGGGGCATTTTTAAAATTATTCATTTCCTATGCCCTAGAATTAGAATATTAAAAATATGGAAGATGTTTTGACAGGAGTTTGGTTGTAGAAATGCCAGATCCCTGTCTCTTGAGTCACATGTAAGAGACAGATCTGTAATTATTGTAATTTCTGGAGGAATGGGAGGGATAACTAACTCTTTACTGTTCTTTGTAGGATTTATAAAGCCTTTGGTTGACTTTTCCTCTTTTTCTGAAAGAGGTGAAATTGGGAAGTAAATACAATAAGCTTTAAGACAGCATTCTGTTTTTTTGGAGTAGAAGAAGAGAGACATATCACAGGCAGCTCTGATCCTTCAAGTGTGTGTACCATGTCAAGTAACATTTTGAGTCAAAGGTACTATCTCAGCTTCTGCAGGAGTCCTCACTTTGTCTGCAGTGAGTCATTTTCCAATGCGGTAGCAGATGCCGCAGTCTTGTGCAAAAGAAAGCTCAGTACACTTTGGAAAACATTTGGGGGTCTGCCTTATGACTTGCTAGACAGTCGATTCGGTAACGGTGTTGTATATGCTGAGCAGTCATCCCCACTTACAATTAATGTACTTTCCGTCCTTTGCAGAACTTTCTGGACTTCAGTTTTTGGGGGTACTCCCTCTGCTGAAATGATAAATTCCTGAGATTTTTAAATCTTTATTTGTGGAATTAAGAATTTTGCTTCCGTTTTATTTTCGTATGCTTATTTTTTAAAATAATGTTTTATTTATTGATTTTAGAAAGAAAGGCAGGAGAGATAGAGAAACATCTGTTTTTGTTGTTCCACTTATTTATGCATTTGTTGGTTGATTCTTGTGTGTGTCCTGACTGGGGATCAAACCCATGCTTATTTATTTTAATTAATGTGGGGGTATTTTGCTAGTAAATTCAAGTAATAAACATTCAAGATTACAGTCTGACATACTTTTTAGAATTTTTTTCCATTTAATTGTTTCACAAAATTAGGATTGTTTTATAGGTTTGAATTTACAGGAGTTGTCTGTATGAGGATTATTTTGGGTTTATTTTTTCCTACTAGTCATTGTCATTTTTGCAGATAATCCAGAAGTGATTGTGTATGCATCTATTTTTTTTTATTAAATCATGGTAGTTCATCATTAGATTTATCATCATTCTGTTAACATCCAGAAGTTACTTTGGTAGGATTATTTCTCTTTCGAGCTTATCTAATGCATAACCTGGAGTTTTTCATTCAAGTTTTATGTGACAGTCACACTGCAGCGTGTGTTTGGTTCACACTGGCTTTTTGAAAGACTCTTCAAGCTGCTTCTGCCTGGCTATGAAAAGAATTTTGTAATTATAAAAATCAGCATATTTTTAGCACTTAAATTGACTCCATAATGAAATGTTTCCATTGCTTTCAAGCTCTGCCTAGAGGAAACTTTATTTAATAAACAACACTGTAGAGAGATTTTTTTCTCTTTGAAATTGGCACATTGCTGTTGCTGTTCTGTCTGCAGGCATGTCTTCATTATGTTAAAATTAATTTATTTGCAATTAAAATGTTCTCTTTAGTAGTTGAGACTTTAGGTTCTTATTTTGGGGAGGATCATGTAGGGAGGGGGCATAGGTGAACTTCAAGGAAAAGTGAATACCAGTTACATACACTCCCAATAATGAGTGTGAGTTTCTTTTTTTGAGACCTGAAGGTGGAGTGCATTTTAAAAAGCACTAGAGGTCCTCAGTTGACTACACGTGTACTGAGGGGGAACTGTATACTCAGGTCTCATTTTCATGTGTTTGGTAATAAATTATGAATTTATGTAGGCTAAGGACACTGATGTATTATGTCTAGAAATGTTCAAGGAGACTACATGTTTTCTGATTTTGGTCACTAATTTAGGATTATTTTTCTGGTTTTTGAACCTTTTGGTTTACTCCTTTGGTGGTATGATCAGCAATGTGTTAATGCACAGTTTAGATGAAGGTTAGTGACTTCCATAGCTTAAATGACAAAACAAGATTTCTCTGTTTAAGCACCTCAAAATATATGGGGTTGGATATTTTAAATGATAGAATGTGAGGTCAGAAAAAATTTAATATAGAATTGGAATAAAGTATAAAAGTATGGTTTTATGAAAAGTTTTGAAAGGTTAACAGGAATTTAGCTGATCAAGTCTAAATAGATTAAAAGTATGAATACTCTAGCAATGAAACAAATTAAATAAAAGGAAATTTAAAATTTTTTAAAGTCTGTGTAATTGAGTTTTGCCTTCTAGGGTGTATTACTTAATAACTAAAGTCATCTATCACTTTCTCATACCCCTGGCTTTGAAAATGATCAGGATGATATTATATAGGCTATTAAGGATATAATGTCTTCTGAATAAATTAACTTTAAATAAATAGAGTGGTTTTATATTAAAATACAAATTTTATATTAAAATACAAATTTTAATATAACTAACTTTCTTTTTTAGAATACCATTAACATTATTTGAGGACCTTTAGTTTATATTGCTCTTCCAATGTCTTGATTTATTTTTAAGCCACGTTGATTTGTGGATAGGATGTGCGTGTGGTTTAGAGTCAGAAACCTTGGCTCTTCCCAAGGCTCCACCATTTCCTAGCTCTGTGACCTTGGGCAGTTCACCTTTTCACATCTGTTTCCTAAATTGTAAAATACAGATGTAGGATGAAACACATAGGGAACTAAGAGATCAAGTGAAATATTTGTATACACCAGTGCCTTTAGAAAATGTTTAAAAATAAAGAAGGAACTTTTAATTGAATATTGGTTTTTAGGATTGGTAATAAATATAGTCTTACTTAGATAATATTATTACTTAGATAATATCTTTACATTTAATGTTTACTTAAAATTTTAATATTATGTAACTTATTACACAATACATAATACATTTAATAAATTAAATTTTTTATTTTTGAATTTGTCTATACAAATATTCTTCTCTGATTAGTGAGATTAAGAAACAATATGTAAAAATATTAACCAAATGTAATTTTTTCTGGAATTTTTTTTATGTTCATTAAAATACTACTAAAATAATATTTAGAACTTGAGTTTTAGGAGATGATGTGACTTCTTTTAATAAAGCAATGTACTCTAGCTCTTTCAGGGGTTTTTAAACATCTTTCACATTTCTTCCATTTATGGCATCCGACACTTTATTTAGCACTTAATTTTAGACCACATAGCTTTATAAACAAAGACAAAACTTAAGTGTTACCTTGTGATAAAGGTGAACTAGTTGTGATGTAATATTGGACACTACAGCATTATATTTGAAACCTGAACAAGTTTCTGTTAATCAGGACGTACTATCTAAGGATAACTCAATAGCAGGATTTATGCTCTTAGAAATTGTCAATTTTTTGGAATGATATGTGATGTGGAGACATTCTGATACTCTGAAAACTCAGATCATCTCATTTGAAATGTAAGACTGTAATTTGGTATTTGAGCAAAAAGGAGTATATAAAAATCTTCACTGATGACTTCGGTGTTATATCAAATGAAAAATACTATATAAATATAAAGATATTAAGAGGCAGCTAGGGTGCCTCAGTGATAGACAAATATTAGAGGTTCTTTGTGTGCTTTAAGGAAAGCTGTTCAGGGATATACAGAGGAAAGCAATAGAGTTAACATTTGTTATAGGAACTTAGAATTCTAGAGGCAAACTTTATTTTTACATACATATGAAAGTAACAATAAAGTCAATGTCTTATTCTTTATGCCATTCTTTATCTCATTTACTTTAAGAATAAAACATATTTCATATATTAAATTGAGTATTATAACATCAAGGGTAGTTCAAACAAAAATTTTAAGATTTATTGTGGCATTACTGTTCCTAGGATTCCTTTCATTTTTTCCATTTTTCTTTTTCCCCCTTATCACTGCATGAGAGGAAGCTGAGAAGCACTGGGGGATAGTAATTTGACACAGGAATGTTTATCAATAGCCAGAATAAATACTCATTTTATCATATTCACTCCAATGAGATATTTAGGAATGTTTTGCTGTCAAAATAATGTCTGTTTTTAAAGTGCTGCATTACTATATGTAACTTCAGAAAGGATTTTGCACGCATTTTTGAGAAGTATTTTAAAATTTACAAGCTTGTTTTTACTGATATAATACTGAATTTAATATAAGTAACTCAATTTATTGAAAGCTTGGATTTTTTAGCAGTATTAAGTTGACTGTATGGAGAGGAAAAAAGCGTTTTAAAATAGTTTATAGTATACATTTTTAAAACCCAGTTTCTTAATGTTTCCTGGGAGGAATTATAATGATGATCCTGGAATAGTCCCGTCAGTAATGTGCATGCTGTACAGTCACACAGCTGTTCTGGTTGTTGGAGATGTAAGTAGGCAGCTCACTCCTACCTGTTCCTCAGCAGGGTAACAAATAACAAAACGAAGCCACTGTCTTTGCATGGAAAACCCAGATCAACACTGCCGCCAAATATAGCGACATAATTGAAAGGTATTTTAATTGTCAGAAACTCACTTTTGAAAAGCAAAATAAAAATGAAAGTTAAATTACAATGACAAACCAATAACCAGGATCAATGGTGAATGTAACCCTTATCATTTGAAAGTTATTCTTACTGTCACTGAATGGCTAAGCATTTACTTAGAAATTAAGCTTTTTGTTATATCACCTTTGAACTGAAACTTACAATATATGTTCTTTTTTGAAAAGTTCAGTAAGTTTAAATTAAACAAAGTAAGAATTACCAAGTCAGTGAAATCTATTTCTTACCTTCACTGTTGTGCTGATCACAATATATATAGAGGATTATGAGTAGTTTGAAGTCTTATCGGCGTTTAGCTGGAAAGTTTTCTCTGTTACCAGATTTATGGGAACAATGGAAGTAGGTGGAGGAGAAAAAGTGTTCTAGGGAGGACTTATGATGTCACACAGGAATTCTGAAGTTATGATTGGTTAGCATAGTCTTATCACACCCAAACTTTTTAGAATGTCATTTATCTTACTTTAGGCATAGAAAGGTCATTAACACTTTGTGCCTCATTTTTTTGTTTTTAATTTTAAAAAGTATGTGATAGATAAATGAAAAAAATAAGTTTGGGGTAGTAGAAAGCTCTTTTAAAGACACATGTATCTTTGGGCATAGAAATGACTATATACTGATAGTGATAATATTGAAGAACTAAGTCGGTTACAGTAATAGGAATTTTAATAATGAGAATAATAATACTGGCTTTAGCCAAACAACAGTTATTGAGTTGCTGTTGCTGTTGTTGCTGTAATCCTGCAACTTCATAATGCTAACTTCCAGCAAGACAATAATTAAACATTTTCACAGAAACAAATTTTATACCTTTTTCTGTTTATTTTGCTTTCTTTCCTATGTGCGAGAAATCCAGGCTAATAACTGGCTTTGGTTTTAAAAAATTAGCTTTTCCTATGTTTAAAATAAGAACTAATAACTTTAATACTTTTGTGTTTTCTTCAATTAGGGCTTTAACAGTATATTTATTTGGGGGGGGCTATGTGCTAATATTTAATTTTTTTATACTTACAGCAGAGTGAACTCAGACTGCTTTCTTATGGGTAACTAAAATGTGTTGGAGCAGCTGCTATGTGTCCTTAAATGGAGATGATTTTGGCTTCTTCCAAAGAAAGATAAAATCATTCTCTAGAGCAATGTCTCATTATGTAAAGAATCAACTAAAACTAACAGGAAAATAGCATTTCCGCAAAGATCTTCTGTGAACGTTGCTAAGGGAAAATTTACAACTTGAAAGTAAAACCCAATATTTAAAAGTATTGTCTGAATGATGTCTGACATTTGCTCAGTGCTCTGCAAGCATTTTTTCCTTTCGTAGTAAGAGTCTGTTTTCATCTCAATTGCCAGTGATGACTGAAATACAAAACCTAGGTTTGAAATACAAGCATAAAGTGATTTACATTTATGTGTCAAAGATGATATATCTGTTGAGAGACTGAGTATTTAGATCTGGATGTTTAGTTGTAATTCAGTGACAGATCGGCATGTTTGGAAGGAAAAATCACAGTTCAAATGTAGACTTCATAGAGTAGCGTACATCAACTAAGGAACAGATAAGGTACTGAAAAGTTGTAGTTTTAGAAAGTCTACTTTTTAAATTTGTCTGCCAGATACACATTCATTTGAAAATGAAGTTTAGGGAATGGATCACTGTAGTATAAGCACCTCTAGTTCTAAGAAAGAGAATTAGTAATATTAGTAACACTTAGTTGGATAAACTTAGAAACTGCCACAGCCTGAATAAAATATGCCATAGACGTTTCAAATGTTGCAGTGCTTTCTTTAAAGGCATACACAGGTGTGCACACACATGCTCACACACACCTTAGAAGGATGCTAATTGTGTGTGTGTCAGAGTTGGTAAGTGGAGACAAAATGTACTTTCCAGGTTTGTACAAGGGTGGGAAATATATGTGTTTATGCTTTTTTTTATTAGCTGTGGCTCATTATTATTAGTAGTAGCCTAACTGGAGCTCTGGAAAGGATTACATTTTAGCCAGAATCAGCCTAAATAGAAAGTATTTTAATAAATAGCATTGGTGAGCTAAAGTATAATCAGTATAGTATTCCTCAGAAACTGCACAGCTAGGAGCTGGAAATTGTTTTTAGAGGTGCTTTGTCAGAATATTCATTTGGAGTCAAAATGTACAATGGAATCCATTTTTGGTCACATGACCATAGGCACCTTCCCTAAGCTGCCTTGTCTGTAGAATTGATTTGTTGTGAGGGTTTAATGAGGTGAATTGTGTGTAGTGACTATTAAGAGATTGTGCAACACAGTGTCTATTTAACTGTTAGTAGTTTTTTCTTTTAGAAGAGGATTCTTAACCTGCAGTCCATGGGTAGAACTCAGTGGTCTTTGAACTTGGATAGGAAAGATTACTTCTTTATTTTTACTAAACTCTAAATGAGATTTAGTACTTCTTTAGTTCTGACTATAAATCACAAACGCAGAAATGTTAACAGTACATTTGACGTCACTGTAGCAATCTCAGATAATTTCATATGGTATAGTTGTTGCAGAGAGCTTGAAATACTGTTTATATTCATCACTGTTTTGAAATTACCATATTTTGATCTGCCTATAGATATTACAATTGAATGTATTACAGAAGCATAAGTATTACAGATTCGTTTTTTAGAAGCAACTATTTCAGTGTAATTAATTTTCTTGCTAGTCCTATGCATCTTATTTTTTAGAACAGTTCTAAATTTAGAGAATTATTGCAGATGTGGTGCAGAGGGTTTCTGTGTGCCCCACACGCCGTTCCCCGTTGTTAACATCCTCTGTTTGTATGGAACATTTGTCCCAAGAGTTGCACCGAAATAGACCGTATTAACAAATATCCAAACTCCATTCAGATCCCCTCAGTTTTCTGGAGTATCCTTTTTCTTTTCCAGGATTCTCTCTGGGATACCAGATTTCATTCAATAGTCATGTCTCCATTGGTCCCATTGGTTGTGACAGTTTCTCAAGACTTTTTTTCTGATGACCCCAAACAGTTTGAAGGGTGCTGCTGAGACATTTTACAGAGTGTTCCCAGGCTAGTACTTGTCTGATGTTTTCCTCATGTTTAGCCTGGTGAATGTGTTTTTTGAGATAAAGGCTAGAGCAGTAAAGTGCCACATTCATTATATACCAAGTGTACTTGCTATCAGTGACTTATCACTGTCACTGTTAATCCGTCATCACCTGGCTGCCGTGTAATGTCTGTTGGGTTCTCCAATGTAAAGCTCCCCCCCCCAACCCTTCCTTCGGTGCTCTCCAGAAGACAGTCACTCTGCGCAGCCCACACTTATGCATCACTACCTGTAGAATGGAATGTCCCTAAAAATTATTTGGAATTCTGTGTACTTTATGTATACATAAACACCCTGAGAACAGATCAGTAGGCCTTAGCAGTCTGCCAGAAAAGTCCACGGCACAAAAAGTTAAGGATTCCTGTGTTAGAGGATGTTTCTGTAGTTGTATGGGGCAGCCCTTTTTGGAAAGAGAAGGGACTGAGTTCTGAAACAGGCCAAAATCCAGACCTCTTAGTTTGCTTTTTTAGGCCCTGTCTTTCTAGCTTCATCTCTTATCACATTCCTTTGCTTTCTGGGCTCTGGCCCTGTACAGCTGCCAGTGACACTCTGGATAGGCTATTGTTCTATTTTGAGCCTCCCTACTCTTTTGTAGGAATGTCCTTACCAACCTTTCTGCCCAACAAAGTGCTGTTTTAGTTTGTTTCTGCTGTGCAGCTCTCCCTGCCTTCTGTCAGACAATTTTGCATGTACCTCTGTGTCTCCTTTTATTGCATGTTAAGTGTATGTACCTAGGGTAGACTGCAAGCTCCCTGAGAGCTCATCCAATAGCTCATATTTATGCTGCAACTTATTCCTTGTAGTATTACTACCTAGTATAGAACCTAGCTCATAGTAATTCTTTTTTTTTTTAAGATTTTGTTTATTTATTTATTTCTAGAGAGAGGGGAAGATTGGCTCATAGTACTTCTTAAATACTGACTAAATGAATGATTGCATGGGAGAACCAGAAAAGGTTACAGGGCTGGTAGTAAACGATTCTGCAGAAGTAAGTGTTAGGGACAATTATAAAATCCTTCCCAATTTTAAGCTAACTATAGCAGAGGAGGAGGATGGGGGTTAGGGGTAAGAGTAGAATAACTGAGAAAATAACTGGTTTTTTTTTTTTGTCATTTAAAAATGTTTAAATATATTTGGAGGGTGAGAGTAAAAGAATGCCAAAAACAAAAAGTGTGAAGGCAGGCCAAATCATAAGCCCATATTCCCTAAACTAATTAACATTTCGAGCATTTTAATATGACTATACATTAAAATTATAATATAAATTTTAATGAGTTTATTTTTAGCATATGAATGTGTCATAATTTATCAAATTATTCTCTTATTAGATAGTAGGTGATTTATAATTTTTGCCAATATAAACCATATCAAAAAACACTGAATTTGTATAAGTAAATTTTTTATCTCCTTTTGTCTTTTTTTAGTCTGTTGGCTGAATAAACGTGTTACAAATAAATGTTAGTTTATTCAAAGATGATCAAGCTCTTAAATGAATTTGAATTCATTTAATAATTTGTATTTGAATTCCAATTTAGTAATTTTTAAAGTTCTGGTAGTTCAATGAAGTATTTCTTTTCATATCGATAAATTTCTTTGAAAAAATTATCTAAGAATAGAATTTTTCTTGGTGAGGATTAGACTGAAGTTGGCAAACATGCAGAATGATGTGACTGTGTCACCCTAGCAACTAAAGGAGTCACCCTTTTTGGTTTAGATCACATGGCCTTTGAACTGTGTTTCTGCACCAAGGATGGGGCAGATATCTTTAGTTTAATTTAGCTCTGAGCTTTTATATAAAGACTTTGATTATAGCATCTAAGTCTTTGATTGCCTGAGGAGAGACCCTCTAAAACCAGAGCTTTTAGATAATAGCTTTTTCCTTTAATTACAAACTTAGCCCTCTTTAAGTTTATAGAAAATGAATGCAACTAATCCTTGATTTTTTCAGAATAGATGCGTCCTTGAGAGGGTTATGTAAAATGGATTTTGATATGTGGAAGCAAGAAATGTAAAGTCTTGGCAGAAAAGATTAATAAGCTTAGTTTCTGAATGTATAGGCATTGTAACTTTTAATTAGCAATTAATGTACTGAGTTGTACATTGTTTTTGGAATATCTCAGTGAATCTGTACTTTATCTTTAACCCATCTCCAAATTAAATCTTACAAAGCATAGCAAAAGGATTTGAACATATCTGCTCTTTTCATTTGCCCTTGAGTTGGTCAGAGGTGGGTGGTAAGTGGTTTCCAGCCCTAGCATTA